CCAACTCTTTGATTCTATGATTCTATGATTCTATCCCCCTTGATTACCGCCTCGGCTTTGCTAGTGCGCCGTCCTCCTTGGGAATGAATTTTTGTTCTCTTCCCACCTTCCTTCCTCACGCGTCCCCAGTCAACACCACCTCCCAGCGCCATGCCGCCTCGTATATTTTCCTGCCATTCACGATTGCCCGAGATCAGAAAGCTTCCTGTGGCAAGTAGAAACATAACTTTTGGAGGAATTAGCGTCATCTTTGGCACCACCAATGCCAAAAAGAAAAGTCCAGGTTTGGTTGATCTCATTATAAGCAGAGGTAGTTCTGAAGGACCCGAAAGGTCAGGCCTGATGAAAAATTTCAAAATATCCAAGAGAGCCAAGTTAGAGCAAGAAGGGAAAAAGTCCCCCCTAATTGTTTGGGAACGGTGAGCTGGAAAACGCTAAAACCTTGTAACGTTTCTATTATAAGATTAATATGGCACAGCTCCGCCTGAGGGGAGCAGTCAGTGGGAAGTTGAAGCCATTGTTGGCAATTATATTCAGGCAATTTAACTTTTATTAATGACCTTTCAGCAGCTTGGTTGCTTAGATTGCCTTGTCTAGTACAGCAAAGGTAGTTTCAGCGGCTCCAGATTCAAGCCGGCTGTCAAGGGGGACGCTGACCATTGTAAACTATTCAAAAGGAAATATAAAATACATTTTCTTAAAAAGAGAGAATATATACAGTACACCCATGTATGATAATTGTGCTGGTACGGCTGTACCAGGAGCTCCAACTTCATTTTTTTTCTATTAAATGTCTGCATGCATTCCAAGGTTTCAGGCATTCTGCAATGGTGACTTCCCTTGGTTTGCAATTATAGGGCCAATGACCCATCAATCATTGTTAAGTTTTGGCTCCACCCCTTTCCCCAGGGCCCTGGGAGGAGAGGGAGCCATTTTTAGTTCAGTCTTACATTTGTGCCTTTTGGGCTTCCATTTCTGCCTGTCTTGCCCTGTCCTGTGCCTCAATTTCCAATTTCCTTAACTCTATCTGATATTTACACTGTAACTCAGACATAGGAGTTTGATCTGAGTCTGAGCTTCCCTCTTCTTGATAAGCCTCAACCTCTTTTGTTACTTTGCCTTGCTTTTTAGCTCCAATTTTTACCTCAAGATTTTTTCTTTAGGCGATCTTAGGCACTAAATCAGATGTTAAACGTATCCCGTCGCTTGCNAGCTCCCAGCCAGAGCTTTGGGAATTTCCCCCCGGAATGTCTTGAGAAATGAAGCTTTTCTGTAGGTGAAGCTTGTCCACATCCTCTAATTGAGCTTTCCTCACTAAGACTAACTAAAAATGGCCCCCTCTTCCCTTCCCATCTGTGAAGAAGACTGTTTTAATGCCACCGAATGCCACCAAATGTGAAGGAGTGGTGAAACTGCTGCCACCAATTGTGAAGGTGCGTGTTGTAAAACACCCACTGCCACCTAATCTATGAGGGAAGCCGGGCAACGATCAATATCAACCTAGGAGCTATTTTATAAAGGGACTGTTAATTACAGAAGGCTTTGTTCATTTGATAGCGTAGCGTTTACTGTCTCTGGCTGACTTTACTATTGCAGGCTGTTCAACTTAGGAGAAACTGTATCAGGCAAGGCTTGAGGAAAACAGTAACAAGTTTATTTTAACAGCAGTATAATAAGTTTAACTGTTTCTTCACAAGAGGCACAAATCTTGATGGTTACAATAGTAATGTTTCATGAGTAATCTCAGGCAGGGTCTTCAAGAAGTTTCTTTAAGCAGATGTAACCCTTCTGGACAACTGCCCTAATATAACAAATAAGCTAAAAGGCTTATTTTAACAGAATTCCCTATAGCACACTGGCTACAGACACATTCCCTGAATCTCCACCCAGAGACTCAGTCTTCCCTATAGCACACCGGCTACAGACACATTCCCTGAATCTCCACCCAGAGACTCAGTATTCCCAGTAGCTCGCCGGCTTACTGACTGACCTTTTAAAACAACTGCCTCGTGAAGAGGCAGTTGGCTCCGCCCCTGTTGCTATGGCAACTCAGCTAACGCCAAGCCACCATCTCCAACAAACATAGTCTCCCATACTTACCATCCCTAAACTACTGTTTAAATTACACATAACCAAAGGAATAAAATTTACACATTGTCACACCATCTCCTTGGGAGAAGGGGCGGATCCAAACTTAACAATGATAGACAGGTGGCTCGCCCTATGACTGCAAACCAAAGGAAGCCACCTTTTTGCAGAATCCCTGAAACCTTGGAATGCATGCAAGCACATAATAGAAAGAAAATAAAGTTGGAGCTCCTGGTACAGACGTACCAGCACAGTGGGTTCCCTCCAAGACCTGATCCTTCTAGAGGGGAACCCTCAACTTGACTCTGAATGTGAGTGGAGTGTCAGCCACACAACAGCAGTTGAGGGCTCCCCTACCTATTGTTGTTGTTGTGAAGGAAGCAATGGCACTTGGGGGAAAGGCTCACACGCCCAACACATCCTGCTGCAAATACCAACAAAGTAACTAGGCATGCGTGATCGATAAAAGAAATATTCAAAAGTCATTACAAAACTGTGAACCGGTGTTTCAGTTCCAAAGTGTTTCTCAAGTGTCGTTAGTAAACATTTTGTTACTGTAACGAGAGTAATGAAATTATAGTAATTGCACAAGTGGGGGAACTTCAGAAGGGCTCCTTTCCCCCTCATTTTTACAGCTATTGGCATTAAATTTGCTACAATGCCAGTACACATTGACCACTATGGGCCCACCAAGTTTCAGAGCGTTTCACTCATCCACTGATTTTTGGGGAATTTTCAAAGTTTTTATAAGCAACATTTTTTTTGGGTTGTTGTAGGTTTTTTTGGGCTCTATGGCCATGTTCTAGAGGCATTCTCTCCTGACGTTTCGCCTGCATCTATGGCAAGCATCCTCAGAGGTTATGAGTTCTGTTAGAACTAGGAAATGGGTTTATATATTTGTGGAATGACCAGGGTGGGACAAAGAACTCTTGTCTGCTGGAGTTAGGTGTGAATGTTTCAACTGACCACCTTGACTAGCATTTGATAGCCTGAAAATTTGGCTACCAGTATTAAAAAACTCTAAAATTAAAACAGCAAAACAGCAGAGGGAAAACAATCAGGGACATCTA